CCCTTGTTGCACTTGTCTTTGAAAGCTTGCAGTTACTTCCACTATCATTAAATCTTAATTTTAATTAATTATTAAATCATAACTACAGACACTTGAAAACATACATTTATTATTTTATTAATATATGCATGCATTTTAAATAAATTATTAAGCTAATTAGCTTTATAATTCGATATATATATGTTAATTTATTAATAAAAATTAGTAATTAATATGATTGCTTTGGTACTTTTAGTAAAGTAAAGAAAAATTGACAATGTTTTTAATAGAACATGTAAAGCCCATAGAAAGAAATTATTGCCTTTTTAGAATAATAATGCCCTTTTTTTTAAACTTTTGCCTTTTTTCTGCCTAGAATGAGCTCTGGCATCAGCATAAACTGATTTATTCAATATTTTGTTAATGAATTATAAACTAGTCCTCATGCTTAACTTTTGATGAGTTGGAGTAATGTAGCAGAGTTTGCAAAAACCTGTATTATATGTACTTATAATCAGGGTTTGTTGATTTAAATCATGATTTTTAAAAAAAATCTAAATCAACTGATTTTTTTAGTATATATATATATATTGATTTAAAAAGTTAAAAAACAGCGTTTTAAAATATTGATACTTTTATTATTTTCTTTTCTTAGTTATAAAATTTATTTTAAATTGCTGCATTAATTAATTTTAGTTGACGAAATTACTTTCTTGATGTGTGTTAAATTCTAACACACTTGAAATTACATTTTTAAAAATCTTTTGATTCTCGAGATTGAAAGTACAGATTAAAGTAAACATTTAACACTGTCCTAATATAGACTTGCATACATGTAGAAAGTAATTAATAAACATGAATTTTTTTCACAAAAAAATAATGTTAATTAAAATTCTACCGTTTGATTGAAAAAGCATGGAATTAAAATCTACATTATATTTTAGTGGTGGAAAATGTATATTTTTAAAGCTTGAGGTTATCTTAAAAAGAAATTACCATAATATGCCAAAAATAGGGTTTAAATTCTCTATTTCATCTAGTCTCTAAATTTCAATCATGCATTTGTTTCAAAATGGTTGCTATGCATTCAAAGCTATGTATTATAATGAAAAATTGTTTTAGGTAGTTAGAGCTTCTAAAATATTGCTATAATACAGTTTTAATATTAATTTAATTTTGATTAAACATTTGTAAAATTTTTTTAATCATAAATCAAAATTCTTACAGTGTATTAAAATAAAAATCAAAAAAATCTGATTTAAATTTTTAAAAAATCAGATTTAAATCAAAAAAAAATCTGATTTTTTCTTTATTTTTAAAAGAAAAATTTAAATAAATCACAAACCCTGATTTCATGGTATAGTTAGTTCCATTTGATGACCAACAAAATGATAAAAAAAAAAAAAAACTAAGCAACACTTAGGGGTCTACCATAATATAAATTCTCTAAAAGAATGAACCAGCATGGTATGGAATAGATAGGTATAACTTTCCACTTTTACAATTAAAATAAATAAAGCTTAACCATTTACTTTTACAGTTTCTGTTCCATAGCTTTCCACAAGTGAAGCATGCATTAAGTGTATGAAATAAGTATTATATTTTAAACCATATGAACCAGGTAAATTTCGTTAAAAGTTCTCAAATTTTTCAGCAACTTAAAAAAATTGGAGAACTCATTTAAAACAATACTAACTTTACAATTTTAGTAGTTAGAAAAAAAGTTTTAAAATTTAATAAAAAAAATTTCAGTAGTTAGTTAATTATTTAAGATTAAAAAATTGTTTACTGTTCATAATTACATGCTTCCTTTTCAATCTAAGAAATTAATTTCCTTAACTTTTATAGGAAAAATTAAAAGCTCAATTATGCTACGCTATAAACAGCAATATTTCATCAATGATAAATAACTTTTTATTTAATGAACAATAAAACTTACTTTTAGATAGAAAGACATATCAAATATTATACATTTTATAAGAAAATTAATTTCACAATACAAGAGTTCAACATGCAGATCTAATAATTCATGAATATAAATAAATTTCAGATATAAGCATTAATCTGCACAACAAATGGGGAAAAGAATAATAAAAATTCACCATATTAAATGAATTGAATAGAGTTCATTAAGAGTCACATCATTAAGATCATCATTCATTCGGATACCATCATAATCTTACTTATAATTAAAATTATAAAGAAACTACAGTAGGGAACCGATTATCCGGAACGATCGGGACCATCGCTATTCCGGATAACTGATTTTTCTGGTTTTTTGAATCGCTACAAAAAGCCGTTTTTTTATTGTTAAACCCAATTAAAAAGAAAAAAAATTTGGAAATAATCTTAAAAAGAAGAAAAAACGATGAAGTAATACACTAATAATTATTTCCAAAATGATGGTAAGGTGAACATCTTTAAAAAAAAAAAATCCTAAAATCTTATGAGGAAAAATTTTTTTTTTTTTAAAATGGTGGGAAAATTTATCGAATTTCGTTCCGTTTTTTTGGTTTTCCGGTTTTCTGATTTCCGGATAACGGGTTCTGTACTGTATAATATTGTTGGACTACAATTATGGTTATTTTCTTGAAAAATTTTGTAAAAAGAAAAGATAGTTTATTAATAGAGTCACATCAGTTTTATCTTACAAGAGATCATAAAAATGTTCTCACCTTATTTTTTAAAAAATCTTTCATATTGAATGAAATTTAGTACTGAGGTTAAAATAAATTTCTCAAAATAAGAATACTCAGTTATTTAAATCTAGTTCAATTCTATTTTCATTATAATTTGACTATCATTTTGTATACAATAAACAATTTTAAATAGAATATAATTTAGGCAGTTCTGTAAAAGAGAGAAACTTCATTTTTTTAGAACAATTACATTTATAAACTATAAATTAAATTTAAATTTTCTAAATTTGTAATTAAAATATAGTACATATTCTATAAAAAATCAATTGATTGTATTAAATCTGCTAATAGGTTCAAATTAAACTGTTGGTGCCGGATGAAAATCGCATTAACATAAAAAATAATTACTTATGTATCCTCTTAATGCTATGAATTGATCAATTAAATTTTGAAGCTTACAGAATAAAGACAGTTTATAAAAGAATAAATACAAAATGTGGCAATTTTATTGCGAAAATATTTTAAATCATTCCTGAAAATTTTCTCATTTATGCAAGTTCATTTGAATTCGCTATTCGCTTTACAGATTTTATTTTGCCCTGTTTTTTCCAAACATTTTATTTTCTGCTTTTTATGTGATATTATTATTTAATGTGTTCTATTTTGTTTAAAAAAAAAAAAACTTTTTTTTTATTTTTTAGTGCTCCTTACACTACTGTATTGATATATTTTGCTTTGGCTATATTTATACAATATTAGAAAGCACATCTTTTGCAGACACAATCGTGTGAGCTGAAGAGATTATATATTTTCTCCGCAGAATTTTATTAAAAATCATTTTAAAATTTTTTTCGAAAATAATTTTGTTTGCCTCTTTTTATTTTTCTGTAATTTTTTCTTTCATTTTTCCTATGTTTTCTCTACTTTCTAAACCTATTTTATGAGTTCTATATACTTGCAGCTTATGCACGGTAAATAAAACTCTTTTAATTTTTTTTCAATTTTCTCTTTTTATTCTTTTTGTATTTATTGTGCTATATATATATCCAGTAACAGACATGGCAATTTTTATCAGACTTGACATAATAATTAAATCAAACCGGATCATAGTTAAGTTTCCAAAGTCTAGAAGCACTTAGATTATTGAAAATTTAGGGGGGGGGGGGGAAATTGAGCATTGACAGAAATATTTGAACAAATAACAGCAAGACATTATTATATGAGAGATACATTGCTAAAAAAAATATTTTTGTTCAGTAAGTTTAACTGCTTATACATCCACATTGAAAATTGAAATTAGTGATGTTGAGATTTTGAATAATAATGTATCTATGGAAGTATCATAAAAAAGTCAAATTAATTATAGAAATAACATTTTTTTAAAAAAGAAGAAGAGCTAACTAACCTTCATGATGGTCTTTGTCTTTTCGTTGAGAGCTGGTACGATGATAGCGAGGACTACTTCTGTTTTCTAGTACATCATTTCTACCGGATACATCACTATTACTTGTGAGGGGAGAACTTTTAACCTTTTCATTAGATCTATCATTTGGTTTAGGAAATTTACCCGTGTTCTGAAAGGTAAATAAAATTTATTTCAAATGATAAATTTTGATTAGGAAATTTATCAATTCTGATAAAATTTATCATTTATCAGAAACAGTTCCCAGACCAATTACCTAGACATAGTTTCTTCTTTAAAATCTACAATTTATTAACACATTGTTAAAACAAATTTTTGAAAGATTAATTGCTATTATTTGCAGAACCTTTTATTTTTTGATTAAATTCAACACTTGGTTAAAGAAATTTAATTTCGTTCTTAAGATAAATAAAATTCATTTGGACAAAATCTAATTCAAGTAATGACAAAAATTACTTCAGAGGGTCAATATTATGTCAAATTAACCAATAAAAAAAAAACATTATTACAAGAATACAGTTCTTTTAATTAGATCAGGCTACTTAATCAACAGATTTAAATGAAAATCAATCCAAATAAAATTACAGGAGATATTGCTATAGAACTTTTAAAATGCAAGATTCCATTTAATAATAAATAAAAATTAAATTTACTTATTAAAGAGTGAATGCTTTAAAAGAAATGATATTGTTCAGTTAACAGTCAAATAAATTATTTAAGTAACAAATCAAAACTTTTAACTCTACATTAAACATTTTAACGATCCATTGATTGGTGCACTTTTATAAGTGCAAAATATTCTGCAAGAACATAATATTTTGCACAAGGTCAGGTTCTATAATCAATGAATTAATTGGTATATCTAAAAACAAAATTTCAAAATGGAAATTTTCTCAATTTCAAGACTATATTGCTATAAAACTTTTAAAAAGACAAGAATCTAATTGTTGACATAATTAGGTCCATTAATTAAAAAGTGGGTTACATCAAAACAAATTACTATTGTTCAATTACCAGTTACATAAATTAATCAGGTGGCAAGTTTACCTAGAATTTAAAAAAAAAAACTTTTTTTTTTTTAACATGTTGGTATAAACCAGTTTTTATTTATTCATTTAAACCAAAAAGCTAAATAGTATCTTAATTCCCAAATTAAAGTATTTAAATCAATAAAAAGCATTTCAAACATTTCAGAGAAATCTTTTTTAACTATTAATATTTTGAATAAAGAATTAAAAAATATTCACTTTTGTTGCAGAAATATGAGGAAAAAAATAACAATATATATATATATATATATATAACTTACAAGGCCACTTAACATGCAAATAAGTATTTAATGTCTAAATGTTATTTTAGTAATGCTTGTAAAAGTTAATTTCTCCCGAGATGTCAGCTTAAACAAAAATGTCATAATTCAGCATTATTTACATTAATATCATCATTAAGTCGTATACAATTTTAAGCAATATCATTTTATTGATATAAGATAAAAAAATTTTAATTTATTAAATCAGTGAAAATTTTAACATAAAGGAGCATGAGATATTCGTGATAATATATTTTCTCAGTTAAAAAACTCAAATTAACAGCATGATGAAATGGAATGAAGTTGACAAACAGGCTGCACACATAAAATTAAAATATAAAATAGTAAAGATATATTTTAGTACATACTAATTACTTTTAATAGAAAAAAGTACAAAAAGAATAAATTACTTTTTTGCCATTTTTTTTAATATAAGGGAGATTTAAATATAACAATATTCTTATTGAAGTATTGCAGCAACAAATAATAAGAAATTAATTTAAAAATGTTTTATATGACTTTTTAATATTTTTCCTTAAAGTTTTTTTCTTTTAAATATAGTATAAAAAATTTAATTTCAAAATATTATAATGTGAATATAAACATACTGCATATACAATACAAATTTGTAAAAAAGTACGCTGAAAAAATAAAATTTATGAAAAGCACCTCATTCCTATATATACTTTTGACAGTAGCATTAACAAGTAGTATATAAAAATAAAAGTTAGCAAAACTCTTAACTCTTTTGATTAATACATTCTTTAACAAATTTTTAGAACTTTCAGAGCATGGATTTAGTAATGCTCTATTTCGTTTTAAGCATTTTTAAGGCACATTGTTTACATAGTTATTATTGAAGAAACTCTTTAAAAATTGGAGATTTATGTTTATGTAAAATTGATTCTCATTAGAAAATAAATTTAGAATTGTTAAAAATGTGAAAAAACTTTGTATTTTTTCATTTGGTTACATTCAAACTGAGAAAAATTACATAAATAGAAAATTTAAAAAAATAATAATAATAGAACAGATTGTAAAAAAAAATTTAAAAAAAAAAAAGAAGAGGGAACTGTGGTTTAAAGCAATCAATTCTGAAAATAAATAAATCTGGAATAAACAATTAGATAATCTGATTTTAATACTTAGGAAAGTGCTATTAAACAACCTAACCAAGTGTACAGTTATATCATTTGTAATTGCATAAAACCTGATTCAAAGTTCTTTTTAAATGGAATTCTTTTAAGTAGCAACATAAACAATATTATAATAAAAGAATGGAATAAACATTATTTTGAGATAATTTTAAGGGAAATCAAGCCTTATTATGAACTTAAGCTTCACTTTTAAAAAGGTTATTTAAAAAAATATCAAAACTGAGATCACAGTTAAAATGTTAATAATGAATACATTTAATGAAATAATTAATACAGTTAATCTAAAACAGTTACATATCTAACATATCAGTTACAAAGCCGATTTAGGCATTCATGTTTTACTTGATGATAATATTGAGTAAAACAAGAAGCTGTAAAAAACTATACTGTAAAAACTATAACATCACTGTAAAAAACTATACTATAACAAAACGCAGATTTTATGAATGTTAAGTAATTAATTGAATAAGGTTACAGAACAGGATTAGAGTTCTTGATAAAAAAATTTGTTAAAACTATTAAAATCTATGATGGTACTCATAGAAACATTATGCTTTTTTTTTTAAAAATATACTTAAAATATTAAATTAAAATATAAAATTCTTATAAGTATATGCTTATATATTAATAAGTATAATTAAAAATAATTATATTAAGTAGATTTTATAGTTTCAATCAGAAGAATTTTCTCTTTATATTCATAATTTCTTTTATTATTTAAGTTTTCATATAACTGAAATAAAAATACTTTTCTATTATAGTTAGCAAAATATTTTATAATAAACAGTATATTTGAAAGTCTAACAGCTACATATAATCCAAATTATAATGTAAGGGAAATTTTTTCTTTTAAAAAAACTTACATTTTAATACGGTAAAATAAGAAAAAGATTCTGTGGAATCTGCACCTTAAGTAATTTAACCTTTCAATTCAAAGTTTCATATTAGCTTTTATATAAGGAATTTTTGGCATAAATAATTACTAAAATATTAAAATTTCTTTTTGTAATTAAAAAATCATCATTATAGCAACTTTAAAGTTTCAAAAAGACCATTTGTCAACATATATTAGTCTATATTTCAAATTTTATGTAATAAAAGAGTTTTCAAAACAATTTCTTTTTGGGGACTGGAGTTTTATTCCAACCATTGATTAATATTGTCCATAAAGTTGGTATAATTGAAAATAACACCAACTTTTCTTCCATAAACATACTAAAATGATAAAAAAAAATAATTTAAGATTTTGAATATGCTTATTCATTACTTTACATTTCAACTTAACATACAAATAAAAATTTTATATCAAATCGTTAAATTAGTAAAGTATGCAGGGATGCTACTCGCAAAATATCAAATTGTCTCACCAGAAATTGCATTTCGTCTCAGTTAAAATCTCTTTTTGGCTCAGTTTGTCTCAGCTAAAATTATTTTTTCACTCAGTTTATCTCAGCTAAAATGATTATTAATCAGTTTGATAACAATATAAAGATAATTTTCAGGATCCATAAAACCATTAATAGCATACTAGGAGTACTACAATTATACATACATTCACTATTGCTAGGATTTTAAAAAACCTGCATATGATTGATTATAAGAGTCCACAAAATTGTTTTATGGACTCTGTTGTTTTCATATATATTGCATTTATCATTTATGCCAATGAATAGTATCTGTTNTTCCACCCTCCGGAAATCCAATCACATGCATTTTTTACATCAACTGCATAAGGATTTGGGAGTTTATTATCCAGATTATAAACAACGTTCTGAACTAATCTTTTTCGATAGTATCCTTTGAAACATTTTATTATTCCCAAATCTAATGGCTGTAGAATCGACGTGCAATTTGGGGGAAAATAAAACAATTTTATATTTTTCAAACTTGGAGGATTGTTGTGAGGAGTGCAGTTGTCAACTAAGAGAGCTATTTTTTTCTTCTTTCTTTTCATCTCCTTATCCACATCAAGCAGCCAGTTGTTAAATATTTCTTCTGTCATCCAGGCTCTTTTGTTTGCCTTGTAGTCAACTGGTAAACTTTTCACATTCTTAAAACATCTAGGTTTAGCGTATTTGCCTATAACGAACGGCTTCAGTTTATCGGTTCCAGTACTGTTTGCACAAAGTAGAACAGTTAACCTCTGTTTTGATTTTTTACCTCCTTTACAATTTTCTCCCTTAAATGCCATTGTTTTATCTGGCATGAGCTGATAAAATAAGCCAGTTTCATCAGCATTGTATACGTTTTCTGGAGAATAAGTTTTTTCAATAGTCACTTTTTCTCGTCGCTTCCAGGATGCAACATCACTGACTGGAGCTGACTTTTCTTCACCTGAGATGGTTTTAAAAACAATACCATGACGTTCTCGAAATGATGTAATCCACCCATTGCTGGCTTTAAACTCGTTGTTGCCTAGCAAAGACGCAAATGTTCTTGCTTTTTCTGCAATCATTGGACCACTAATTGGCACATTTTGTTGTCTCATTTCGTGGAACCATCTTAGGGTAGCTTTGTCTACATCCTCATTAACTGCACCTTTAAATCTTTTCCTTTTACCATCAATTTTGCTTCCTTCCACAGCATCTTCGATATCTTTTCTTTTCTTCAAAAAAGTAGCTATTGTTGATTGTGAAATCCCATATTTCTTAGCAGCGACAACTTGCTTCAATCCTTGATCAATTTCCGATATGATATTTAATTTTTCTTCAAAAGATAATGCTTTACGCCGAGCCATCACTTCAAAATTAAAAGTAACTTTATTGCAAGGAAAACATGCCAGTCCGTAGTGAGTAACGATAAGGACTTACTTATGAATGAGAAGATTTGAAAGTGACCATTCTGAAAAAAGAGCGCCCACTTGCAACTTGTCTCCTTTCCACAGCTAATGAATGGTGAGGAAAGCAAGACGATTGACCTTCGGAGTGTTCTTTTTAAAGCAGGGATATCATCATTGGCGAGAAACTCCCCCTCCCCCCACCTAAGGCGGACTACATATTGACGAGACATCGATGCGACAGTGACACGACAAGAGGGGAATTCCTATTCAACAGCATTAAGACGTGCACATTACCTCTGCGCATCCTAATGCTATTGAATAGGAATTCCCCTCTTGTCGCGTCGCATCGATGTCTCGTCAGTGTGTCACCCGTTTTTCTACCGAAGGTCTCTCCCTCCTACAATACCCCTTCACCCATTTCTAGTGCTCTAATTTCCCCTAAAAGTGGCTTTTTTTCTCAGAAGCAACGAAAGAATATTACATACAAAGGAGATGAAAAAAAAAACATTTTGTTATCTCGCATTTAGGCTCGATGGGGAGTCGTTTTCCAACGGTAGAAAAATCGGAATAGAACTATCAACTATCAAAAGAGGAAAAATTATCGTTGTAGACATGTTTAACTGTAAAGTGGTTATCGCTATAAACAGGTTAAAAATACATTGAGTAAATAGGAATTTCACCGGAACCTCATGGAAATATCGCTATAGACAGGTTTATCGTTATAGACAGTATCGTTATACACAAGTTTCACTGTATAACAAAACACAGATTTTATGAATGTTAAGTAATTAATTGAATAAGGTTACAGAACAGGATTAGAGTTCTTGATGAAAAATTTTTTTTAAAACTATTAAAATCTATGATGGTACTCACAGAAACATTATGCTTTTTTTTAATAATATACTTAAAATATTAAATTAAAATATAAAATTCTTTTAAGTATATGCTTATATATTAATAAGTATAATTAAAAACAATTATATTAAGTAGATTTTATAGTTTTAATCAGAAGAATTCTCTTTATATTCATAATTTCTTTTATTATTTAAGTTTTCATATAACTGAAATAAAAATACTTTTCTATTATAGTTAGCAAAATATTTTATAATAAACAGTATATTTGAAAGTCTAGCAGCTACATAAAATCCAAATTATAATGTAAGGGAAATTTTTTCTTTTAAAAAAACTTACATTTTAATACGGTAAAATAAGAAAAAGATTCTGTGGAATCTGCACCTTAAGTAATTTAACCTTTCAATTCAAAGTTTCATATTAGCTTTTATATAAGGAATTTTTGGCATAAATAATTACTAGAATATTAAAATTTCTTTTTGTAATTAAAAAATCATCATTATAGCAACTTTAAAGTTTCAAAAAGACCATTTGTCAACATATATTAGTCTATATTTCAAATTTTATGTAATAAAAGAGTTTTCAAAACAATTTCTTTTTGGGGACTGGAGTTTTATTCCAACCATTGATTAATATTGTCAGTAAAGTTGGTATAATTGAAAATAACACCAACTTTTCTTCCATAAACATACTAAAATGATAAAAAAAGATAATTTAAGATTTTGAATATGCTTATTCATTACTTTACATTTCAACTTAACATACAAATAAAAATTTTATATCAAATCGTTAAATTAGTAAAGTATGCAGGGATGCTACTCGCAAAATATCAAATTGTCTCACCAGAAATTGCATTTCGTCTCAGTTAAAATCTCTTTTTGGCTCAGTTTGTCTCAGCTAAAATTATTTTTTTCACTCAGNTGTCATTAATTTGCAGTATTAAATTTACAACATTCATTTCATATTATTTAATAAAATGATCATGCCTTTTTTTTCCAATTAAGACAGCATGAAAATTGTAGGGTAATGTATTTTTTCAATTAAAAAACATTCAAAATAATGGAATAATGATGAAAAATACTAAGGAAGGGCAATATAGATAGGTAAAATTGAAGAAAAGGCAAGTTTAAGTACTAATGATTGAATAACATAAAATAAAATTTCTTTGAGTTTTATTTTAACCTAATAAAGCTTTAAGCATTAAAGTTCTTTATAAATAATGTGGAATTAAATATTTTATAATTGATAATATTTTCAATGAATTATGAGAATTTGTAATTATTTTTGAATTTACTATTTTATATGAACATTGTATTTTGAAAATATTAGAATAATTTAAAAATACACGACAGACATACAATAAAAAATTTATTTACATTGAAAAACTGAAAAAAATTCTAAAAATAAAGTCCTTAAGTCTGCAAAGCACCTCTTTCCATTATGCTTTTGATTGTAACAAGCACTATGTATTAAAACATCTTTTCATCTTCATTTGTTCCAAAACTGTATTTTTTAAATAATTTAAAAAACCATCAGAACATGTAGTTGTTTATGGTCTGTATTATTTTAAGAAATATTATGACTTAATTTTAAATTTACTGGCCTTAATCTATTTCACAAATAAATTTTTGTAGAAGAGCAATAATAAATATATAAAAATTACAAATCATGTATGTTCATTTAAAGCAACACAGACTCACATTGGCAATTAAGTTCAAGATTCTGAAGATTTTTGTGGGAAAATTTACTATTTTTTCATTTGACTAGATTTAAAGTAAAAACATTTATAAACAACAGATAATTAAGCAATTTAAATGATATTTTTTTCTTTTTTTTCTTTAAAGCCAAGCTTGGTTTTTAAAAAAATTTTTTTGATTTAAACCAGCTACATTGGTTTAAACCAGAAAACACTGCATTAAACAAGCTTTATTCATATTAAATAATAAAATTTGCCAAGCTTGGTTTTAAAAAAAATGTTTGGTTTAAACCAGCTACATTGGTTTTAACCAGAAAACACTGCAATAAACAAGCTTTATTCATATTAAATAAAATTTGCCTGAAATATTGTTTTAATTATTTTGTACCTACACTTATAAAAATTACATAAGAAATTTGCTGTGTATTTTAATTTTTAAAAAAAATCTAACTTTTTTAAAACAGAATTATGACTAAAAACAAAATTTTTACAGGCATAAGAGTTTGAGATTGCATCTGATGTAAATTTGTGTAGAATAGTAATAAAAACATTTTTCTATATCTAACAAATGGATATAAAGGAACAATGTATAAAGATATAATTCTTATTATTATCAATCTCATTCAAGAAATTTCAAGCTTTTCATGGTATAGTTATTGTTTGACAAATCTTTTCAGAAATTTAATTGGCTATAAATTATTTTAAACAATTTTGTCCTGCTTCATTATGCAAAATCAATTAGTATACTAAATAAAATTTTTCATTGATAAAATTAAATAAATAATTGTGCGCAGTAAGAATTACCTTTTTTTTTTTAGATTTAAAAACTTGTAATTTTGTTAATCTTTTAATCTTGAAAAATGAATTTTTAATTTTAAATGCCAACAAATATAATGCAATTACTGTATCGGATAAAAATTATTATTTAAAATTGCTTCTGAATACAGTTTTGTTACATGGTCTAACATCCTCTATGGGGTAAGTAATTGATTTATCTTTTTTTTAAAAAAAATTATATGGTTTAATTTTTTAGTGAGATAAAAAAAAAAAAAAAAAANTGTCCTGCTTCATTATGCAAAATCAATTAGTATACTAAATAAAATTTTTCATAGATAAAATTACATAAATAATTGTGCGCAGTAAGAATTACCTTTTTTTTTAGATTTAAAAACTTGTATTTTGTTAATCTTTTAATCTTGAAAAATGAATTTTTAATTTTAAATGCCAACAAATATAATGCAATTACTGTATCGGATAAAAATTATTATTTAAAATTGTTTCTGAATACAGTTTTGTTACATGGTCTAACATCCTCTATGTGGTAAGTAATTGATTTATCTTTTTTTTTAAAAAAAATTACATGGTTTAATTTTTTAGTGAGATAAAAAAAAATAATACTGAAAAGTGGATTTATTTCAGGCTCCCCTATATTTAATGTTTGACTCATATACAATATATTAGTTAAAATATGAGTAATAATACTTGTAGAAATACATAAATGCCGATTAGATTTTTGATACACTGGTACAGATATAATCCTTACACCATAAAATACTCTAATTAAAAAATGTCATATTTTACTTCAGGTTCAAATTCAATGACTTATTTTACTTCTGATGGATAAGTTTTCAAAATTTGTATAAAAAGTAACAGAACTATGTCAAAATAGCAAGTTAATAGCTAAATTCTTTACTTAGGTCTGTTTTTAAACCAACAATTGTTAACCTCACTAGTTTAAATTTTATAAATGTAAATAATCTAAAAAAAATTTGCTTTATTATGTTTAAAAATATTTAATTAATATCTTACCTCATAAGAATGGCTTTGGTTTCTGTCAAAATACCTGGAAAAAAATAGTATCAATAACACATTTTAGAGAAATAAATATAGGGAGGTCCACTGAATGAACCTCCTACTATTCAATTAAAATAATTGAAATTCAATTTGTACATAATTGAAATGTTATCACTTCACCAGAATCATAAGTTACATGTAAGAATAAGAGAATTTACTTCTAAGACAAAAAATTATAAGAAAATTCTAACATTCATAAATATGCATTATTATTTTTCTCTTACCATCTACTTTTTTAATATTAATTTTAAAAAAATTACTAAGAATCCTTTTGTATATATAATGTAATTAATATATAATGGTAAACAAATAGTATTCAACAGAAAAAAGCACTAATAAAATGAGTGGAAGTTAATATCTTAGTATATTTACAAAAATAGACATTTTTAAAATCTAAGTGCAGTAAAAAAAGTTTAAAGAATAGTTTTTTCTTTGATAAAATATGAAAATAATATTATTTGTGCCCGTTAAATGTTGTTCCGGAGCTCATAAAGTATGCATCTGGCATTTGTCAAGCTTAAAAGCATGTCAAGACTAATAAGAACAACTTTTACACAATATAGCATAGGAAATGCTTAAACTTATAAATCATGGATGTCTTAATATTTTGGAAGTATTGTGCATTTGTTAATTATAGCACAAAAAAAATTAAAAACAAATGTTATTTAAAAAAAAAAAACTAAGTAAAATTTTAAATTTAGTAATGAAATCTAAAAAAAAGAGCAATATAGCTATTAAACTAACATATCAAAACACAAATGGACAAGACTTAATACCAATCTACACATTATTATGTCTGAAATCTAAAAAAAAGAGCAATATAGCTATTAAACTAACATGTCAAAACACAAATGGACAAGACTTAATACCAATCTACACATTATTATGTCTGAAATTTACATTATTATTTGCTTAATAATGCTTGAAAAAGCCTGTTTGTTCATATAGAAAATATCCAACAGAACCACACTTAGGAGGGAGCCAAGTTAGAAAACCAAAATCATAAAAAAAAAAATTGAAACCAACACAAACTATTCAATTCATAACTATCAATTACTAGTCGAATTATGTGCTTTTTTCTTAACAGCTTACATTTCTATTTTCCAAAGTGAACAATTTTATAATATTAAAAACATTCCAACATACTAAGCTAAAATATAGTTTTAATGCTACAGAAGCATAGCATAATTTAAAAAATAATAATCACTATACTGAAAAAGAGAAATATCTTCTGACATTCCCCATACATTAATATGTTTTGTATAGTTCACAAAAACCTAAGACATGGCTTTGCCTGGACTTTTTACAGCTAACATATATCTATAACAGTTTAAAAAAACTGTCATTCTTAAAATAATGAAAATTTTAAACGTAATTATCGTTGGTTAAGGCAAAGTTTAACCTTATTTATCTTACAACTTGAAAATCTTAAATTTTCGAGATTAAGTTATAAAATTGGCAGATGGAATATAACGGGTTTAACAGCACAAAAGTAAATTTACCGTAAAGTCTAAAACTAAGACCATATAATTTTTAACTTGAAAGGTAATGTAAAAAATGATGCAATAAAACTGTTATTAAGAGAACAAATTAAGCCAAGAACTATAAAAAAAAATTTATCAAGAGAAATTTGAAAAGGCAATTTTACTTTTCTAGTGTCTACTGAATAAATGAAAAATAATGATGCAATTTTTTATAACGAAATCTAGCTGAATATTCAAAAAGGGACATCTGTACAGTTTCATTTTTTTAGTGTGAAATCAGAAACTGTTGACACAATTTTTCGTGAAATACAGCTTTCTCTTAACAAAACAGATCGTTTAAAACACATAACTGGTGAGAAATATCAGGGGTCTGTCTAGGTTTTTCTGAAAGGTACTTATTTTGTGAAAATTTAGACAAAATTTGAAAAAATTAAAAAATCAACACAAAAATATGGTGTTGTTGTTGCTAATTCCCATCTGGTCTGACGGGGTCAGACCAGATCAATAAATCCGTTGACATTAAGAAAATCCGAAACCAGAATGGGAGAGGAATGAATGTCGTTCCAGTCCAGGCCTAAACAGTTCAAGATGTGCTCAGGTGATGCCTGGTTTTGTTGGCATTTAGGGCGAAAGATCTTTTGATTAGCAGAAAATGTGAGGCTTTTCAGGTGTCCACTGGCCAGTTGGGATAAGCAAGTGTTGGTTTGCCTGTCACCAGGAAGAGATAGAGAGAGTCCTGGTCTTTTTGCTTTATACAAAAATATGGTAAAAATATGGATTTATCGTTTCTTACAAGATACAAAACTAAAATTTTAAGAAAAAGTATTTTGTGAAACTACTGCTTTTCCTAAAGTTGAATATGTGAAGGTACCGCTAAATGGTATTAAATTTGTCCTGAATATTAAGCATAATAAAGATGTTACAAGCTCTGAAGAACTCTAGCCATTCCAGATCATCAATTATCATTAATTTAATGAGAAGAAAAAGTCAACTAACAGCTGGTAAGATATAATAGGAAGCAATGAATGGCACCTATAAAGTTAGCTTTCATTAAGTTGTATTTCACCTGAAAATTATCAGAGTATATGAATAACATTGCCTGTGCCTTAATTTAAAGGTAAAAATTTATAATAAAACACACCTCTTATTTTGGCAAGTTTTTATGTTCTTAGAAAATCAGGAAAAAGGATTAAAAGAGTTAAGACTTTTTAATAAGAAAAAATCAGCATAAGAATTAAAAGAAAAATGAGAAATTTCATATACAATTAAAGATATAAGTCACTATGCCCAATCCAAGAGACACTTTAGCTAGTTTAAATAACATTTTGTCAGTGGTCATGAAATTAATATAATAAAACTAAACATTAATAACCTTTTCTTTAAATATCCATATAGTTGCTTAATCAGATTATGATTTTTATATAGAGATTACAGATTATACTGATTACAATATACAGATTACTATTTCTATATATTCCTGTATAATTTAAATTCTATAATTGACAATAGAATCTTTTTCAGTCTCAAAATGTTGAAATTAATTTTATCAAACTTTACAAAATGTAAACTTGATTTAAAATTACTTTCAAAAGATGACACTGTACTCCTCACATTAAAATACTACTATAGGTTCATAGCTTGAATATTTTTTAAGTAATTTTTTACTAAATATACAGTACAGCTAAAGTAGTTCTTAACAACCCAATTTTGAATTTAGCTTGCCAATGCCAGGCATATTTAGCACACTTAATTGTCCTAGAAGGAGCAATGTTAGCTAACTTTTAAAAGTAATACATTTACTTTTAATGAGGCATTTCATAACTTCATTTTAGATTACAAAACATGATATTTATATTTAAAGGTATTTATTTTTCCCATTGTGAATTAACTTAATGATTTTGGTGCTGATATCAGCTAATACATAAAATTGGTGAAAATAAAATCTCAATATGGACAACATAAAAAATTAATCTTAAATCCACAATATAAAACAAAATTTGCTACTATATGATCGACGGTAATATGCTTTTCTATAAAATTCGCGATATCGATTAGATTTTCTTGTTTGTTTACTTTTAAACTGAATTCAGCTGTAGGTTTTAAATAGAGTGTAGCATACACTATAGCTAAGCCTACACTATATTCGAATAACGATTAGCCATTTAAAACAAATGATTTTATGGGACACTTTCAGGAATTTGAAATAAATTCACCACAATTACTTGTCACAACCAATTTATGGGTTTGGCCAATGCAAATTTTACATTAGCTGTCCATTGTTACAGTATTGATTATGTACCGTAAACATCTAATTTATTAATGAGACCTAACTCTATTAAATTAAAACAAAAGTGTTATTACAATAAAATTAATATAATTAAAGCTCAGAAATATTATGGATCTCCTAATTATTCAATATTATTTTTACAACGGCTGCCTGTCAATAACGATTTTACCATACGCGAACGCGTCATATAATAAACGCATAAAAATTAATGTTATAAAGGGTATGATCATTGAGTGTTTCTTTATTGTATAAAAAATACATTTTAATTCTATATCAAAACCTAAATTTTGATTTTCATTGTCTTTATTTTATTATTATCAGGGAAATAATTAGAATGCTAATACCCATCGCTGAGTCTTGGAAGTTTCCTTGCCTGCATTACCATTAATGCTAAGATAATTTGTATCACCCTAATCAAAATTACAAATATTTTATAAAAAGACTACAGTAAATAATAATAAAGGTAGATTAATTAAAACACTCAATCCCCTTGAAAAGTCAAAATTGACGATCATCACACATCCGGGGACCATAAGCGATCAAAAACAATCATTGCCACAATCCGAAACTAAAAGTATGCCTTTTAAAATTACACAAATATTTTCACAAACTTAACGAAATAAAAAAATTTACGTTTAAAATATTGTTCGTGGATATCATAATTAAAAATTACTCAAACGCAGCTAATATATTTCTAGAATTTATCAAGCTCATTGAAAACCTAGGCTTTTTTTAAGAAGTTGAAAAAAATTATTTTTCGATCTTAATGGCAACTGAAATTCTAAATCACGTCAGCTGTTTCAAGTAAATTATCCATAGCCGTAACTAATCCAGTGTATTTGTTATTTATTTTTATTTCTGTTACAGAGAAATTTACTTCTGCTACTGTTACATGCGTGTTGCTTAAAATCTCTCATAATTTGAATAGTCTTCCTGAAGGAAACACATTAAGTTATTATTTTCCTTTGTGTATCAATTTTATTTACTTTGTGCACTTCACGATCATTTATACTACGTGTCGCTAATTTACATGAAATAATACAAATTTTGTGAGGATAACATTGCCATGGATGATAGCTATGGCAGAGAGTAAAGACTCCCTTAGACGTCGAGTTTATTATGCTGCACGAGATGGCATGTCAATTACTTTGTATGCATTGCTTTCTAATGTAGTACCTCAAAGTTCAGTGCAACATTATTTAAATGAGGCTGTTGAAGATGAAGGTCAAAAATGCACTCCTTTATTAATAGCTGCTCTTAATGGCCATATAAATGTAATAAGGATGATGTTACATCGCTTTCAACCCGACATTGAGCAGGATGGAACTGTACAAATTGATGGTTATGTTATTGAAGGAGCTACTGCTTTATGGTGTGCTGCATCAGCTGGACATTTCAATGTCGTGAAATATTTGCTGTCTCGTGGTGCTGATGTTAATCACGCCACGAAATCAAAATCAACTCCCCTACGAGCTGCTTGTTTCGATGGAAGATTAGATGTCATCCAATATTTGGTTGATAAAGGGGCAGACATACATATGGCAAACAAATACGACAACACATGCCTGATGCTCGCTGCCTACCGTGGTCGCATTGATGTTGTAACGTATCTCTTAACCAAAAAAGCAGATCCTGATGCTCAAACACAATGTGGTGCAACAGCTCTCCATTTTGCTGCTGATCATGGGCATGTTGATATTGTGAAAAAACTTTTAAAACATGGCGCAAAAATTACTAGAAATAAAATGGGGCTGACTCCCTTGCTTCAAGCTGCTGAAAGGACTAAAGCTGAAGTGGTTGAATATTTCATTAAAAAATCATGGTGTGATAAACAGGAAGCCGTTGAGGCGCTTGAACTCTTAGGTGCTTCTTTCGCTAATGATAAAGACTTCTATAGCTTGGAAAAAGCTTATTACTACATGCACTGGGCTTTATCGGAAAGGGAAAATCATCCTGACTTATATTGCCCTAAGGTCTTATCATCTCCCATAGTAGCTTATGACAATCATATAGAATGCCAAACTTTAACTGAATTAGAAGCTATAAAAAATAATAGCAATGCTCTTCACATGGAATCGTTGGTTATTCGGGAAAGAATATTAGGCTCCAATAACCATGAAGTTCCCCATCCCATAGTTTTCCGAGGTGCCTTATTTGCTGATGTAGGTCGTTTCGATAGGTGTGTTGATCTCTGGCTGCATGCCTTGAATTTGAGGTATACACACAATGTATCTGTGAGAAAAGATCTTCTAAGATTTGCTCAAGTATTTGCACAAATGATACATATCGGTGAAGAAGTGCAATTTAACAAAATTTATCCTGTGCTTGACATCACACTTGCAGAACTAAAGCGGAATAGTAAGTTACTGAATTCAAGTACAGAAGGATCCCCAGATTGTGTTCTCGAAGAATTGGAGGACGACATTTATACCACCCTTTACTTATTAGTTATTACCACTAAACTTATGAAAAATTTGTCTTCTGATGAAGAATTTAAAATATTCAAACTAGTTTATGAAATCAACCAACTAAACTTAACTACAAGCGATGGCTCTACGTTGTTGCATTTAGCTGTTAACGTTGATACCATTGTTGATGAGTTTCACACTAAATATGTCTGTAAGTTCCCGTGTGCATCAACTGCAAGAATGCTCATACAGTGTGGTGCTGATGTTGATGCTGTTGATAAAGCAGGAAATACACCTCTACACATTATAGTTGCTTATCAAAAACCTATCACGGATTTTATGACATTGCATTCAATAATTACAAAGCTTCTCGATGCAGGGTCGCATATTGATCGTGTAAATAATAATGGTGAATCTCCGTTTGATGCAGTTTTGACGGGTGTTGCTGAAATTATTTTAAAAACGCAACACCAATTGAACCTAAAATGTATGGCTGCAAGAGCTGTTAAAAAGTATAATCTGAATTATAAAGGTATTGTTCCTTTCACATTAGCTTCTTTTACTGATATGCATGGTCCTCCAAAGAAAAAAAAAATTAAATGATGCTATATTTGGTGGAATATACCTGCATTAATGTGATCTGTTGTTAAGTCACTATGAGTTTTAATATTTATAATATTATATATTACTGTTTTATGTACATATATATTTTGCATATAAATATAAACTATCTAAAGATCTATTTGACTATAAGACTTAAAAATTTTCTTGCAGGCAGTTTTCACTGTGAGTTTTAATACATATTTATAACTGTTGTTTCAGATATAGTTTTTGGGTAAAAATCTGAAAAGTTTTTTTATGGGAATTAATATATTTTGCCTATTTTCAGTTTTATTATTTGCTCATTAATTTTTCTCTTTACTTATTATTTTTTTTATTTGAGCAGGGCTGATTGGGCTCCGGAAAAAATCCGAATTTTCGCTAACAGTGATTCGTAAGTTTCCGGAGATCGAAGGTCCAGACGTATCAAAAAATCATTAATCACAGAAGTTTCCGGAAATCAAATTTTCTAAGGTGGAACTTAAAAGCACAGTTTATTTTATTTGTTTGTAAGGGAGAGCCAGAGAGATACTTTATAAGCTTATATTCATGATTAATAGTCATTTTTTNAAAAATTAAATGATGCTATATTTGGTGGAATATACCTGCATTAATGTGATCTGTTGTTAAGTCACTATGAGTTTTAATATTTATAATATTATATATTACTGTTTTATGTACATATATATTTTGCATATAAATATAAACTATCTAAAGATCTATTTGACTATAAGACTTAAAAATTTTCTTGCAGGCGGTTTTCACTGTGAGTTTTAATACATATTTATAACTGTTGTTTCAGATATAGTTTTTGGGTAAAAATCTGAAAAGTTTTTTTTATGGGAATTAATATATTTTGCCTATTTTCAGTTTTATTATTTGCTCATTCATTTTTCTCTTTACTTATTATTTTTTTATTTGAGCAGGGCTGATTGTACTCCGGAAAAAATCCGAATTTTCGCTAACAGTGATTCGTAAGTTTCCGGAGATCGAAGGTCCAGACGTTTCAAAAAATCATTAATCACAGAAGTTTCCAGAAATCAAGTTTTCTAAGGTGGAACTTAAAAGCACAGTTTATTTTATTTGTTTGTAAGGGAGAGCCAGAGAGATACTTAATAAGCTTATATTCATGATTAATAGTCATTTTTTATCAGTAAATAATAGTTATAATCTTAAACTCAAGAAAGAAAGACATATTTGTAAATTTTAAATACTTTTCCAGGTCATCATAAGTATGTGTAAATGGTATAGGTATGTGAAAAATTTTAAATATATTTTTAATAAACTAAGAAATATTTAGAAAAAGGAAAAAACATTGTTTAACTCAAGAAATTTTCTGGAATTTTGACTTCGGCTCACAATCACCCCTGTTTGAAGAATTATTGATTTTAATGGCGCAAATGTTTTCATTGTGTTATCTATTTAAAATGGTGCATATAAGAAAAGAATCTTCGAAAAATGCCTAGAAATTTATTTAGGATACAAGACATGCCTAATAAATATACTTAGAGTATTTTTTTATGGAATAAAAATAGACTTTCAGTAAAAGGAAAGTAATCCAGATATAAGTTAGGCGATTTCTTTGCTTTTCTTAAAATTAAATTTGTATCTGAAATTTTTTTTTTTGTCTGAATCATTATTTGTAATAAAAAATTTTACTTTTAATAATGCAGCTAAACCTTAACTAAGACTTAATTTTTGTTTTTAAAAACTTAAGCCAAACTTTGTGTGTGTTATTGCACAGGTAGTTAACTCTTTAAATGCCACATCATAGACATTTTTATATCAACATTTTCATTATTTTTAAAATTAATTTCATGAGCAAATTTAGCAGGCTAACTATTATTTTTCACACTAATTGTATAATATTCTAATGTCAGATCTTACACAAAGTTGCTCTAAAATTGCATTTCTGTAAAAATACTTTTATCTTTAAAAAAGGTTTCTGAGTCTGATTAAAAGGAAAGTATTTCTTTATTATTATTATTTTAATGACCCAAAATATTTTACACTACAAATATTTGCTTAAAATTAAAAAAACTTTTGCTTAAAATGTCATTTAGATTTCCATCAAACCCTATATAATTGAAAATAAATAATTAGTCTATTAAACTCTGACTAAATAATTGACACTTTTTTTTTTCAAAGTTTGATTGACAAGTGTCTTATTTTTTAGGTAGTAATCCACAACATGATGACTTGTTAACTATATTGTTTAACTAGATAGAAACTAAAAGCTTAAATTTTTTAATATAATTTTTATATTTAGGTCTTTTTTTATCAACATGAGTATATTAGTAGCTATTTTTTTAATGTATTAAAATACATCACATCTTGTAAGTTTTGCACAAAATGTCAGTCAGACTCTAAGTTTGTTTTGCAGTATCAAAAAATTTTTAGAAATTCCTGTTTGATTGCTTGTAATTTCATCTTCCACCCTTCCAGTTTTATTATGAAAATGTTTTTTTGTGAACTAAAATACATATTTAAATCTCCTTTTCTATGTAATAATAAGAAACAGGTTTTTTATTGCTTCGGATGGATAGCATTATTATTGTTCAGATTGCGATGTTATGAAAATAGCCATATTGCAAAGAACTTCTTAATTAAAAAAATAATGAAAGAATTAAATATTGTTGCTATTTCAGTCTTTAAGAAACATTTGATAAACCCGGCGGGACTCATGTTCTATTTTATTACTCCAAGATATACACTGGGCCTGAAAGTCCTAGGTCATATTTTTTTTCTCCAAAAAATTTAATGAGACTTTTTGACCTATGTTAAGAAAATGCTATGAAAATAAATTTCAATTAGATATCATTGATACAATTAAATATTTTTAGAATATAAAATTATATGAAAATTACATTGAAAAATATTTTTATTTTTAAAACCAATTAAATTACTCAAGCTAAAGTTGGTAATCATATGTAAATTTTATGCACTGCTATTTTTATAAATAGTTAGGCAGAAAACCTACATTTCATTGCCATCTGTAACTGAGGATAATGCTGTGACCGGTAACTAAAATGTGAGTGCTTTGAGTCTAAACAGGGATGTTAGTGGTTTGAAATTTCTGAAAATTTTGAGCTGCTGTTAGTAAAAATATTACTAAGACTTAAAGAAAAAAACGTTTTAAAAAAATTACAGTAAATTATTTCAAAGTTTTATGTTGATATTTAACTTTCAGCATTTTGATTAACAAGGTGCATGTATTCTATTTGTTATAATGATTTACAAACTTTTATCTTCTGCTCTGTACTGGAACTTCTTAATTAAAAACTCTTGAACTGTATTATTAAAAAGATTTAATTTAGTTTTTTTTTTAAAAATACAAATATTGTCCTAGTTTTTTTTTTTAGGGGATGTGTATAGATTAAGCTTCCACTAAGTTTAAGAAAATTTTTCAAAAACTTTTAGTATGCTATACCCCTGGCATAAAAGACCTAAACACCTGTTTTATTTGAAACACTTGGAGGTAAATTTCAAGATCATGCATGATTTATGGGCAATGCAGCTCTGTCAATGTGGATTACTTTCAAAAAGCAGTGGGTTAGTCTAGGGGTGCACTACCTTTTTGGGTGAAGGACCACTTGAGGAAGGAAGGGGTGCCAGAGAAGGTAGATTAACTAGGGGCCGCACGCATATTTAGTCATGTTAGCAGCAAATATGATAATTTTCATATAACTAAATATTTGTATCAGTAAACTTAATAGAATATTTTCAGAAAATTAAATACTTTTAATTATTTAGATTTATTGAAACCTAAAAAAAACTGATGCATTTTTAAAAATTTTTCACAATAATTAATTTATCAAATATATATTATGTACACACATGAATATTGGGAGGGAAGGATATAAATTCTAACCAAAAAGAAGCTTACAGAATTAAAGTGTAAAAAATATATGCATTTTATAGAGCAATATAAATTTGAATTAAATATTTTAATTAAAGAAAATTTTTAATGTTTAAACAAAAACCAAATTAAAAGCATTTTTTATTGCATTCAGAAGCTCCCCCAAGCCGTACATCAACAGTCTGCAGACCCGCAAGCCATAGGTTGTGCTCCCCTAGAGTAGTCTATACAATGTTTTTGCAACCAGTCTCAGCGTGTATCCTCTCGGATTAAACTAATAAAAAAAATTTGTCTGAAAATTTTAAAATATAGGTAATTTAATTATTTTGCTAATTTGGTACTTAATCATTAAGATCAAATTAAGAGGTTTCACTGTATTTTCAACCTAAATGCTAAATCAACTATTTTAACCTAACTTAATTGAAATATCAAGCTTTAGCTTGCATGAAAGAGAGTTGATAACTTATCAAGAGTGAGCGACAAGTAGACTTTTATAAATTCATTTATTTTCATTTCAAATGTTTATATAAATGATGATTTTCATAAATTTTAAAGACAAGACAGTCAGTTACTAAAGGCTGCTAGTGGATTGCAAAATAATTTTTTCTAGTTACATAATTTAGATTCTTCTATAAACTTTTAAAGTATTGAATAACTGTGATAAAAACTAAATTTAAAATTTTCTTTCTTGTATGTTGGTTAATAATTTTCTTTATTAGTTTGTAACTAATTGTATATTTACTTGTTTCATTGTTTGGTTAAAATTTTAAATACAACAATTATCAGAAATTTAGTGTAATAATGTAGATTTTTCTACCAAATTTTTTTTGTGGCAAAATTTTAATTTGTGCTAAGGATTTTGTTATTAATGTAGTAATTATTTACTAAGTTTGAAATGCTTTTTTTATCCATTAAAATAATGTTGTAGTTACTTAAATTATATTGGTTGAAGAATCACTTTATACTTTTCCTTTTCACCCCATTGTTAAATAATTTCTATTTATGCAATATACTTAAGTTTTTTTCTTGTTGTATTTGAATAAAATTTATTAAAAATTGTTACTTTTGAATTTAGTGCCTAAGTTTATCCAATCCCCTTTTTTATAGAATAATTTGATGAATTTTGTATCTTGTTGATTTGAAGGAAATTAAAAATAAGTTTTGTTAAATAAATTTTACTTTTTTTTTCTTTGAAGAATGTTTTGTTTCTTCTATTGTTGAAGTTCTAAAAGTGAATGATGGAATTTTCAACTTATTTTACAGTAAGGCATGCATACAAGAACTGTTTTGGATAGTTGATCACAAAAAAATCGAAGAAAATATCATGTTGGAGGAAAACTTTAGTTACATAAAGCTGTATTTGTTGGAAAGCAAGATATAATACCTATAGATAATAGCTATTTTTAAGTAACATCTAGATTTTAAAATTTAAACATGCATAATTAATTTAAGTGTATAAATTGAAATTAAATGAATCAAAGTATTTAATATAAATAAATCTAAAAAAAATAGTAGTATAAAATTACAAAGCAATTTATTGAGCCACATCAGAACCAAAGAGCTAAAACTTGATATTTTCCACTAAATTTATTTTTTACTAATTTTATTATTAATAAGATATCAGATTAAATGTGATGGTTAGATTTTGAAATAATAATCTATTTATTTTTATTTGCACAAATTATACTTTATCACTAACATTCTACCTTGGGTCATAAACAAAACAAAATGGTTGCAATTACATTCAAGTTCAGACTTGCAACAAGACAAAAATAAACAAAAGAGTATTATGACCAGTAAAAACAAATTATTTTTCAGAGACTAAAAAAAAGTTTTTTTTTCCAGTTATTTTTTAAAAGGATTTTCTTCTAATT